CAGTTAGACTTCTACTTCTTCTCATCAACCAACACCTCGCTCTTCAACATCCACCCGAAAGCAACAACACAGTTTGGCTGCAATATCCCTTACATACATCACTTTCTTCTCGGAGGAATGGCTTGAAAGATACTTGCCACCATGCCGTCCAACGCCGAAGAAGATGCAACGGAGGCCCGAAGGCTGATAACTTATATGCATGCAGATGATATTCCTCTATGATGATGCCCGATCAGCAATTCGTTCTTGCCACTTGGGTGTTCTTGTATACTTTTTCCTTCTATAAAGTAGGACACGTCCTCGGTTTGGGAATTGTTTTTCTTTCTCCTTCGTTGATTGTACAAAACAGCTACAAGCACCAAGCCTCGAAGAATACCCTCAACAAACAACACTCGGCCCCTGTTATCGCTTTCAAAATGGTTTCCCTGAAGTTTTTCGTCACGGTCGCGGCCTTTATCATCTCGTTCGTTTTTGGTTTCGTCATTCACGAGGAGGATGACCCCGACCTGATCCTCGCCGGCCAAATCGAGACCCAGTTTGGTCTGGTGACCTGGTACGTCGTCTAGAAATCACCCCTCTCACAATACCCCCATACACCTATGAATCTCTCTCTCACACACAGCCAGGTTCAAAGACAAAACCTCCATCACCGCCAACCTCACCTCCACCACCACCGACGAAACCCCCGACCGACCCCCCCAAACTGATCTCAATCCTGCCCCCCTCCGCCCCGGTCCCAAACTCCGCAAACGCTGCGGCTCCAACACGGTGATTTGCTCCGGGAAACACGGCGCTGACGTGCCCGTGTGCGAGACCCTAGTCCGGGGCGTCTTCCCGGTGCAGTCCGAGATGATTCCGGAGGACAATGACCACCGATCCATCTGCCTCGAGCTGGTCAGCAAGCGGTGCTGCGTCAACTGGTCCAAAACTCCCAAGGGCGCCTTCTACCAAGACCTGATTGACGCGGCCGAGAAGCAGCTATATACCTGCCAGTTCCGCGGGGAGGTGTCGGCTAAGAGCAAGGACGTGCTGCTGGGCACTGTTTGTGTGAATCAGTGCATGGCTAGCTGGAACCATTGCAGTGGTCCGGAGTCGGATAGTAGTTACGACAAGGGGAGGTATGATGGGCAGGGATCCGAGTATTCGGATCACCCGGTGCCGGAGATTCTGCCGTTGCCTAAAAAGCCGCCGAGGTAGAGAGCCTTGCTGTGGCTCAGAGAGCTTGACGGGTCTGGGCCAGGATGGTCAACGAAAGAGGACAAAACGGGATGAAACGAGATCTGACAACCGCGACATCAATATCCATGACATAAAGGCCATCGTCAAGCTCAAACGGCCCAAACATCACACGCTCGACGACTCGAAGCACAAGACCATTGTTCTTCCCGGCTTGCTACCGCCAGATTTAGCACCACAAGACAGTTTGAGGCTACTACTGGTATTGGCCATCATTGATGGGGTATTCCAGCAACAGGTCACATCGTGGGACGATCTGTATCGGCTCACTATACCTTAAGACTTGGCCAAAAGTGGCCTACCAATCCAGTTCAAATCGGCCATGAACAGTATTCCAGTCCTTCGCCGGGTGCGTTCTCGTTGCACTACCAATAAGCCAGTTCAAACAGTTGATATACACCCTCAAATTCGACGTTTAGGCAGATTTTGTGGTTTCAGAAACAGCCTTGTTGGGTATTGCCTTCGTCGAGGAGTGGCCTACGCTCTGTCCGAGCAAACCACAACGGACAACCGACAATTCTTGATGGGTCATACGAAAGCGTCATCATACTGGCTCTATCACCCCCAGACGTCGACTATTGACTTCCCTGCCATGTTCAGAGGATTGAGCCAACGACTTGTTACTCAGCTATCGTCTGTCTCACTAGCTAGAAGCAACAATGCCCCGCAGGTCATCTCGGACGAGGCTAACGTACGGATCCGACGAAGGCCAGAGATCGTGAGCCTCAAGGTCGAAGTTGACGACATCCGCCAGATGCTCATCGAAAAGAAAAATTGTCCATTGGATAAGGAGAATTGTCCATTGGATAAGGAAAATTGTCCAGCTGATTGAAGAACTCGATGGCAACGACGAGTTCAACTTTTCGAAGATGGCCCAGATAATGATGACAGCAAGGACGAGGATAGCCAGCATGAGGTCGGCCAAGACGTTTTCGTGGCCATCCGCCGACACAATGTTACTACCCAGCGATCAAAGAGGGGGGTCCACAGGATCAAGTACCCAGTAACTTCAGCCTACAGAGATGTCCTGGAGGAACTCAAACAAGCCCAAGGAAGTGAGACAAACACTGCCGATGTCCTGATGAAGTGGTTCAAGATCTGCCATGGCATTGATGATTTTGCTCCTGGAGAAGAGTCCTTACCAGGGCAGTACAAGTGCAGGTTCTGCTACCAAGACCTGACACAAGTGCATAAAGCACATGGGCATGTACACTCTTGTGCCAAAACCAACGAATTGGGCATCCAAAAAATCCTTCTCGAAGCTATTTGCCCGTTATATCAGCCTTATTCTGACCAAAAGTGCGGTTACGGTACCCATCACCTCCAATTTGTACCATGTGCAGCTACATTCAAAAACAACAGACAACTAGGAGAACATGAACGCACGCATGTTCGAACGGAGACCAAAACATTGCCTAACAAAACTAAGCAATTGAGCTGTTTCTTTGGCTTTTGCGCTAGCAATCCAGAAGGAAGCAGGCTTAACAGAGGAGGGCCAACCTTCTCTAGCGAGCAAGAGAGAGACTCCTACATATATGGGAGGTTCATCAATCATATGCCGGTTGGGCGCCACATGTCGACTTTTGTGAGTATTGCCATACGTGGCTCTCTGAACCATTACGAATGGCATAAGCATGCGCCTACCCACCTCGCCGAAGCAGCAGCACTCATCCAGCAGCATGGAAATAACGGAGTGACCACCGGCCGGGTTGTCGTGCCTCGTAGTTGCCCGTTTTGCTTCCACGATGAAGTGATCCTCGCCGCTGAACGCATAGCCTGTTACCACCGTACTGGCTATGCTTACCACGCTCGTCGTCATTTGATTGATCTGGACAATACGACCTCGAGATGCCCATGCTTCCCCGCATTCTGTGGTCTTGACGAAGAGATGGACAGCGTTCAAATGGGGCTCCATCTGACGAATGTTCATTGCATCGACTGGGACAGGCGCAATCGTTAGTGGAAGCAGAAGAAGGCCGGCGGCAGTGAGAAGGGGACTAAGAAGATGAAGGAGACTGTCGATATTCCTAACGATGATGGTGATGATGATATTTTCTCAGATTGATGATGATGTTCTCTCAGACTGATGATGATGTGTTTTGTTCTTTTTGCTTTGTCTTCTCTTTTTTCATGTTCACCAGTCTGGTGCCCATTTCCTTGATATATAGTGTGTGAGTATATGAAACCATTTTGTTCTCTTATGAAAAACAAGCTCTGCTTTGTGCGCCGTTCGGTTGGTTGATCAGACGCCGAAGAGCTGCAGCAATTAGCTGACTACTAGTTAATTGGCGAATAACATCCTGTTGTTGATGATGATAATGATGATAATGAAAGAGTCACAATAAAAGTTACCAGAGATGGGTGATACTTCAATTATGAGGCAAGTCCTCCTTCTCAACCTATACCTAGTTCTATCCACGGATCTCTATGGCTATGCTGCCCGCTCAGAGACGAATACGAGCGTCTTCGCTGGAAAAACATTTCCTTTCATTCTTTCATGCGGGATGAGTCTTGCGTCTTTGATACCTTCTCATTTCGACAAACCACCTTATCCAATGGACAATTTTCTTTATCCAATGGGAGACATGATCCCTTTGGCGAACCTCATCGGGGACCGTAGCATCCAGATCATCGACTAACATAGGTTGGAATCTTGCGACATTGTCTTTGTGATGCTGATCATACTCGCGCTAGTATTCCACACGCTCAGCTGCTTCGAGCATACTGTCCAACTTTCTCGTCCCTTCAAAATAGTCCACTCACAAGGGGTCGCTCGTACGCGATGCCGCAGATGGATTGCGATGCTTTTGTATGAGCATTTGGCGGATTTCGTCAAATTCGACCTTCAGCCCGATAATCTCCAGCCTTCGTCGGATCCGCGCTTTAGCTTCGTCTAGTATAACCTGTCGGGCGTTGTCGAGTATGAGAGAATAAAAAGAAATGTCTTCCAGCGAGGACACTTGTGTTCGTCTCGGAGCGGGTGGCGTGTGGTCTCGGATCCGCGCCCACAGAGCTCCGGTAACAGAATTAGGTATAGATTGAGATGGAGGACTGGCCTTATATTTGAAAATCACCCATCACTAGCATCTTTCATCATAAATCTTTTATTGTTCGGTCTAGTACTTGTGTACATCTTGAGCTCCAGTCGAGCTGGCTACCAAGGTTCTCACAGTCGTGAGATGTTACGTCACCAAAAAGTACAGTCCAGTACTGGTTTGTTTGTTAGTTCGAGACCTCGTGTCAACTTTCTTATGCATTTTCATAGCTAACTAATGCGTAATCTTACCTTGGATACGCTATTTCTGATATTCAAAATGCTATATAGCGTCCTGCTAATGCCTTTTTATATTCGTACTAGCCATTTTGATTTCTTCTTGCGAGGTTTGGGACTACTCGGGATAGATTTCATCTACGTAGCATACACTCAGAGTACGGTACAGTACCTAGCGTACGGTAGCCCAAGTGTAACTTAGGTCGTTTATAAAACTAGTCCAAGCTCCCAGCTACAGCCAAGTATCGGTTATTTTATATCAACGCCTCTGCTATACTTACAAAATTTAATACCTACGCCCGGACCTTGAACTTAATTTCAACCTTTCCAACTTCTTTCTCCTCTTCCTTCTTTACCCCTTTTCTTCCCTCCTTCTCTTTTTCTCTCTCTTTCCCTTTTTCGTCCTTATCTTCTTCTTTTCCTTTTCTTTCTCTTTTTCTTCTTTTCTTTTTCTTTCTCTTTTTCTTCTTTTTTTTTAGCCCCGGCTAGAGGAGTGGGAGGGGAGGAGGAGAGGAGGGGGGGGGGGGGGGGGGAGGAGGG